CTCTTTTAGCGCGGTATATATATACAACCCACCATGGGGTTGCGAGATGGCCTAAAAACGGCAAAGTCCGCGGACAAAAAGGCCTTTTAATTAAATATTTACTAATAAATTTACAGGTTCCGAGATTTAAAAACTGCCAAGTCCGCGGACAAAAAAAGTCTTTAATTCAATATTTACTAGTAAATTTGTAGGTTCCGGTGCAGAATATAATTTTCCTCGTATTCACACTTTTTTAAATTTTATAAGAAAGTACCTCCATCATAAATTTTTGCTGGATTGAAAAAACTAAATCGCAGAATTTTTTTAGAAAAAAGACCAAGCAAAAAACCGGTGGGTAGGAACCGCTCTCAACGTGTTAAGCCTTTCAATTTGCTACATCAATTCTAGTTCATTTCAGAAATATTTGAGAAATTCCGAGACGTTCCTACATAATTGAGTAGATAAACACTATCCTTTGTGTTTTCAGTTAGAACTTTAAAGTATCAGTCAGTACTATAAATTTTCTTGCAGCGTGAGGAGCGACTTAAGTTTGGTTCGGAAAACAAAAGTTGCGAGTTTGATTTGTCTACAAATGTTACGTATGTTCGTTTTGTACGTTTAAAGATACATGAACGCAATGAACGTTTGTGCTTGCTTGAACGCAAGATCTGCCATCGAAACGTTGCCTTTATCTAAACGTTTAACCCGTGAAGATACGCTTGTGTTCATGTGAACGTTTAACTCGTTAAGATGCGTTTGCGTTTATCTAAACTCGTTAACCAAGGTCACGCATCCCTGCCTAGTTGAACTCAACACCGATTTGGTCACTGAAAACTGGGTCAAAACAACCCGCATATAACGCGTCCTAGTATTCATGGTTGAAATCAACTTTTGAAAGGTTGATTGCACTGAGCTAATGTTCAACGTGGAGAGTTTTGAACGCGAGCTGTACATCTTGATTGTATTTGATGCATGCAGCTCAGAGGCTGCATGGATGCAGCTCAGAGGCTGCATGGATGCAGCTCAGAGGCTGCATGGATGCAGCTCAGAGGCTGCATGGATGCAGCATGTTTCACTCACGCTAAGTTTGTGATGACTTAACGGTTCTCTCGTGAAATTTATTGCTGGCAAGACTCTTAACAATTACGATGGGAGAACCCACAAGTCTAACTACTTTTGGGTAGGGGGTGGAATAACAACAACATATACAAACTTAAGTTTAATACCTGCACTCAACACAACCTGACACATTTCAGCACCACGAATTATTTAGGTTTTTGTGATATGGCAAATTTCACGAGTTATTTCCTGCTTAAAAATGATACTTGGCACCTCGCACTCGTTAAACACTACTTGGCACCTCACACTCTTTAAACACTACTTGGCACCTCTCATTTATTATAAACTAGTTGGCACCCTCAACTTGGCACATCTGAGTCAACAATCTTAACTTTACAAGATAGTCAAGTAGATTTAACTAAGCACATTTTGAAGCAACGGTTGTAAGTTTAAGCCTAAATAAAAATAAAGCAAGTGATGCAAAGATGCCATCAAACCGCTCACCGTGTAGCACGCATGCCCAGGCTACACATGCCCAGGCTACACATTCCCCGGCTACATATGCCCCGGCTACACATGCCCCGGCTGCACATGCCCCGGCTACACATGCCCAGGCTACAATTGCTCAATGCAAAAGCTTCTTGGAAACGCAAATACAAAAATCCGTTACAAATGTACATTTTATTTCCCTCAAGAAGCATTAATAGTCTTAATAATGTGCCTAATATTCAAAAATGCTGAAGAAGATCAAAGCAGGATTTGCTAAGGCGGAGCAATGGCTAGTCATCCATCGTAAGACATCTTGAAATAATTTTAAACAATTAATTTTTCCACAAAAAATGTACAAATAACGCAAGCTTGAGCTAACAGCATCACCCGTAAACATTCATGGTTCAATTATCATAATACATTATCTACTCAGAGGTAGCATAAAAAAAAACACTATAAAAAGTCAATGTCACGATAGTCGCCAGGCAGGAAGTTGCCAGTTGCCATTTAGGCAGTTAATATTTATCATTTTAGATAAACGATCGTTTGCGTGGATGTTGTTTCTATTGATAAATTATTTTACTTGGAAATTAACATAAAAAGTCAATTTTATATCACAATTTAAAAGGACACGTTCAACAATTTTTATGTCCATCAAATGGACATTTGTCCCTCCACGTGGTGGTAAACATAACCAACACAAATCTCTTTCCGTCCATCTAGATGGACAAAGGACAGAACCTCAATCTAGCCAACCTAGACTTTAACACAACCTTTTACCTGCTGACAAATGCACAACTTGGGTTAAAAACAACATCATAACTAACGGAACAATGTCAATATATGGGCAACATCAAATAACATTTTGTGATTCATGGGCGCTTTAGAACTTCCTATAATAAGCGCAGCATTAAATTACTCAAGCGTCGCTTAAATCTACTCGAATTAAGGCTAATTTTTATTCGAGTTTTACGAAAAATAGACAAAAGTTTCACCGCCTATGGGCTGAAAATGCTTACCGACAGCAATATACACATTATAGGCCTAATTCAATATACATTTCTTTGTACATGTTCTGTTACACGCTAAAGCTCACGCTGCCCTGCACGCTACATTCTTCATCCACCACAACATCCATCAGAAACTTCAACATCCACCGCGACATTTAGAATGAAAAAAAAAAAAAAATTTGGTAAAACATTAATGTTCGCGGGAGGTGTGACCAGAAAAACTGTTGTCTTTGCTCTTAATTTCTTTCGAATTGTTTTAAAAATATATAATATCAACTATGTATACTATATAATACATAAATTTAAGATTGAATATAATATTTGAACTGAAGTGAAAACTTGTTGGATAAAATTGATTATTTAAGTAGAAGTTCAGTAGGACTAAATCATATTCAGTGGTAATCAGAAGACGTAGCATGCAGGGCAGTAGCTGATAAGATATCAGCACTAATGATAAGAGATTACTTGCTCACAGTCGCTGATAAGATATCAGCACTAATGATAAGAGATTACTTGTTCACAGTCGCTGATAAGATATCAGCAGCACTACTGATAGGAGATTACTTGCTCTCAGTCGCTGATAAGATATCAGCAGCACTAATGATAAGAGATTATTTGCTCACAGTCGCTGATAAGATATCAGCACTGCTAATAAAATAATACTTTAAAATTGACCTGCTATACTGAGAAGTGATTGCCAACTTCCTGATAAGAAATTACCCGCATGGAAATTACATTTTCATTGATCAGAGAACCTTTACTCCTGATAAGGAGCAAGGTGTTATAGGGATTGCCCTTCACACCACTCATATATGCTATACATCGTGCACTTATATATCCAATAGCAAGATAAAGAAGTACAGAGAGCATAGAGATAACACTGTAGTATAGAGTACCTNCATGGCACAGCAACATGTCACCGCATGGCATCGCTACAATGCACCGCATGACACAGCAACATGGCACTGCACGACATAGTTACAATGCACCGCATGGCACAGCAACATGGCACTGCACGGCATCGCTGCAATGCACCGCATGGCACAGCAACATGGCACCCATGGCATCGAAACATGGCACAGCATGTTGGCAACATTACTGCAATCCGCTAAACGCTCCCCACGTTTATGTCAAATTTGGCATAAAAACAGAGGTCCAAACCAGAAAATATTTAGTACATAAAATCGTTACTGACCAAAGAGTTCCAATTCAAATAGAACATAAATTAATTCAATATAAACACATGAGTCCAAATTTACTACAAACGATATCAAGTTATACATATACACGTGAATTACAACTTCAAGATAACATGAATAGAAATCAACACAGGCACAGCTCTTAAAATGTCGTCATAACAGATTAAAATTCAACATTGAAACAAGTGTTCAAATTTTAACTTAGCATGAACTAGAATCAACATTTTCACGCGAATTACAATTTTAAAAAGGCTCTAATAAAAATTCTTCACGGTCACACTAATACAAATTTACGCAAGACAAGAATTTAAATTTTTTATCCTCGAACAATTTTATAACTCTCACTACACTTTCATTCAAAATGTTTAACTCATCTCTGCACTGAATTTAAAAAAATCTCATCAACAATTTAATTCACAGAAGTTTCATTCTAATTTACGGCTTTTTAACGGAATACAATTTTGAAAAAGGCTGACCGCACGAACGTTTCGATTCGAATTTAGATGTCAAGTTTTGTGTTGCGAATGTTCTGCAATGTTCTCACAGCGAACATGAACTTGTCTGAAGCGTGGGCAATGTTTTGACAATCGTGCACAATGACTTCGAAAATATGAGCCGACAAATTTCATTCCCCAGTAATTCATACAAATTATTTGTACAAAATAGCATGACTTATCTTCACCATTTTGCAAGTTCAAGATTTGTCAGGGCCGATCAAGGCCTGGGCAAGACTATCAAGACTTGTCAAGGCCAATCCAGGCCTGGGCAAGACTATCAAGACTTGTCAGGGCCAATCAACGCCTGGGCAATACTATCAAGACTTGTCAGAGCCAATCCAGGCCTGGGCAAGACTATCTTGACTTGTCAGGGCCAATTTATGCTTGGGCACGATTATGGCGACTTGAATGTTTTGTTCCATGACTAAAACCATTTTATTCTGCGCAGAATGGAGCTAACTCAGTATACTTTCTGCCAGCCTACGAGCTTTATGTCAACGATTATCCGTTCTTCTGCAAGAAGTAACAACTGTGCCAACCCTTGCTAGAGATAACGTAACTATTCTTTCTCTTGCAAGAAATAGGTAACGTAACTATGCCTAACCCTACAAAACAGCAGGATTGTCCTACAGCTGTTCAACCCTGAGCAGCAATTGGAACCTAGTGTTTTGCAAGTCTATAGGCGGAAGCAGGCTAGCAGCCTCTTTTGATTCAGTGCGTTGCTAACATCCTCTGAGAATTCCTCATATAGTTACAAAGAAGTTTTGCAAGTCTATAGGCGGAAGCAGGCTAGCAGCCTCTTTTGATTCAGTGCGTTGCTAACATCCTCTGAGAATTCGTCATATAGTTACAAAGAATAACACACTAAGGTGTCTGCTCCAGCGCAACGCTGACGGCAAAAACCCTCATAATTTAATACTAAAATAACAATGTCTTTACACAGATATGCTAAAATGATTAATTTTCCTTATCAATAAACTAGACTTAGTACCTGCGCTCACCACAGAATGTCATCGAACTTAATACTGAGCCGAAGTTTGAAAATTAAACAGGAAGAGAGACACGTCACTCCTTACCAGTGCAAGGATCTAACGTTTCATATGAGCATTACAGCTTAGACACTACATGGAATGATTATGATTATAAACGACGATGTGTGTGATCAGTTGCAACAAGTGTCGGGCAGAGGAAGCCGGCGAGGAAGATCTAACGGAAGGTAGAAGCTTTACACGAAGGCAGTTGAAAACTGGCAACTCTGCCGTGAGTAATCAGAAGACACCTTTAGAACAATCTTGAAAGATACGCAGAAGTGAATTGACAACGGTCCTTACAAGCACACGATATGCATTGCGCACCACTAAACCACCACTCTCCATCGAGTACAGAGGAGTCCATCACGAAACTTGCAGCAGGTGCAGCTAGTAATCCTCTAGTTCTAGTACTATGCGAGAAATTCAGTAACCTAGCTAGATTGGCACGGCGTCATCTGCTTTAACATCTACCACTAATACAGATTCATAATAATCACAAGCGATTTTAGGTGCATCGCAAGAATCTAAGCAACTTCCGAAGCAGGACAAGACTTGAGACGGGAGGTGGACGTGGTTACGATCGCAGCTTAGGATGCGAAACGAACGGCAATAATTTCAATGAATTCTAAAGTTAGCAAACAGAAGGCGGCCTAGGGTGCTCTCAACAGTTTAGGGCAGAAGGCACGTAGTGGTTTGTGTTCGAGTAGAAGTAATGATTGTGATATGGGTAGTAGTACTCTCGGTACTGTCAGTATACCCGAGGTAGGCTTGATGGGTGCTGAGCCAAGGTCGGCGGATTGTGGTGGGGTGGAGGAGCTAGATGGTGATGATGGCCCATTGATGGGTACGAGTTGGGAATGAAACGGTCAGGCATGAGAGCGTTAGTGGGCATGTGGGCAGGTGGGTAGCCAGGTAACGCCCCATTCATAGAAACAGGAATATGGTGAGAAGTTGGAATACTGTTGACCGCAGCTGCGGCAGCGGCCGCCTGACGTTTCTTCTCGTGGGTCATCTGATGTTTCATCATGTGGTCTTTCCTAATGAACCCCTTGTTGCATGTAGGGCAGTGGAACGGTTTTTCGCCGGTGTGTAAACAGCTGTGTCGCCGCAGGTCTGTTTTGTGGTTGAACTGCTTGGGACATTCTTCACACTTGTAAGGCTTGTCTCCGGCGTGCTTTAGCTTGTGTTCCTCATAATTTGTACGCTCGGAAAACTTTTTGCCACATTTCTCACATTTGTAATCCAGAACTCCTGAGTGGTAACGTTTTCTGTGTTGAGTAAGATAACAGGGACTGGCACAAACCTTGGAACAGTCAGGGCACTTGACAGGTGCATCTTTGCCTTCCTTGGTCTTAGTGGTAGGAGTGTTACTTGAGGTACTTCCTCCACTGGCCGTGGTACTGATCGAGTCTCTTGAACCATCTGAAGTGCTATCGAGAGCTGAACCAGACCTCACCTCAGGGGATATGGACGGAGGTCGACCATCGGGCTCAGCAAAGTAATGGTTATTTATTTCCTGCCTAGTTGCCTGATCTTTGGCTTCCATGGAATTCAAACTAGGGAATGTCGTGAATCCATCAATGATGGAATCCACTTCACCACTCGCATTTTCCTGGGGGGAGTATCTATTTACTGGCCGATTCTGCCCCATAATATCGGGATTACTTTGACTAAGATACTCATTTGTACTGCTACTACTGACACCGGAGAAATTCGAGCTCATGGTGGCTACAGGGCTCATGTTGTACCCTCCTAAATGAGCTTGAGAGGACGGGTGCGGCGAGGGAGTAGGACGGATTGTTGAATCATTGGGTCGGAGAAATGTAGTTCCACCCCCTGTCATTGGGGTGGGACCTGTCAGAAAAAACTGCGACGAAATACCCAGTCCGTTTTGAGAATTTGAGCTGCTAAAGTGACCATGATACATCGTCGAGGAAGTGGGAACGTTCGAGGAGTTTGTGGATGATGCCACTGAGTACGGTTCCAGTGACCGGCTAGAATAATCATTGTAGTTTGGTTCATAGGAATCGTTACCACCGTACGTAGAGTGGTATTGAATATTTTGTTCAGGGGCCTGTGAATACTGGATTTCGTTAGACATTTGATAAGCTAGAGGACTTGGATTCAGATCAGCGGACTTCTCCTCGGGCTCAGATACGAGGCGATTGGAACTATCAGGTCCTGGCTGAACGGTCATCCCATTGGAGGGGAGTCGTGGGCTCGATGACATCATGGGGGAATCTGATGGCGGTAAAGAGGAAGTGATGACCGGTGACATGGAAGGAGTCATTGCAGGAGACATGGCAGGCAGACCACCAGGAGGCATTGCGGGAGACATAGTAGGTGTCATGACAGGAGGCATAGCTGGAGACATGGTAGGTGGCATTGCTGGAGACATTGAGGGCATTGCGGGGGAATTGACAGGTTGAAGAATTGATGATTGCATAGAAGTGCTCTGCATGGCCAGAGGATCCGTGAGTTCAGTCTCTGCTGTATTTTCCTTTTGTTTAGCCATGTTCTTGTGCAGAGTAGTGTTGTAATGCCGCTTCAGGTGGCCTTGACTTGTGAACCACTTAAGACAAATTTCGCACTTAAAATTTTTTGGTCTTTTCACGTTAGTTGGAAACTCAGTTGGAGGCCCATCGTTCGCCTGGCGGGTCTGAGGCGGCGGTTGGGACTGGATGATAGAGGAATTTTGTGAGGAATCCGATTGCAGGTAATTCGGGGATAGCTTTGGCAGGCCAAGAGGCGGAAGGGAATTGACTTGTGAGAAGCCTTGTGGGTGGTAATTGTTAGATGGTATTGGTGATGGATAACCCATGGGCCCATGAGATGGGCTGTGCTGGGAGTGCATAACTGAGCCACCATACATGGAACCTGAGCTTAGGGACTGCATATGCCCTCCGGTGAGGGGCATGGGAGGAAGGGTTGGTGAATTGCTAAGTTGATGATCAGCCGGCCTCCAGATGTGGGAAACTGTTCCCCCGGAAAGTTGGGGCACTGCCGTTGTGTGCGAACTGTTTTGCAAAAATCTGTGAGAATCCAGATCCAGAATCTCTTGAGTCTCAGTCTTGATGATGGGTTCTTCCTTTATAACTAACGGTGAGGGCAAAGGAGACCGGACATACGGATGGAAGCGGGGGCCACCTGGAGCAAATTGTCTGTCGTATGAATTTTGGTAATCAACTTCATCTGGCGAGTAGCCATTGGCTCGATTGAACCCTGCGATCGTTGAGTAAGACTGAGTTATTCCGTACTCGTTTGAGTTTGGTATGTGCGAATAATCGTTCAAATACTGGCTGGATGACGGCTGGAAAGAAGAACTGACGTTATTGGCTGACGGGGATGAAAAATCGAATTGCATAGGAGACATGGCAGAAGGTGGAGCGTATTTTTGCTGGGAGTTACTCGACATATGCATGCCATCCACGTTGGTCAAGACTGAACTGAACTCGAGATTCTCCACAGGGATTTGTGGCTGATTGTGGATGTTGTCATCGTTCAGAGCGTGGTCATTGCTGCTCGACGGCTGATCGCTCATAGGAGCAGCTTGAGTGGGTTCTGTGCTGTCCTGCGTGTTCATCCACATGTTGTTATCTTGTCCAATTCCGTGATGGTAGATGAGGTGGACTTTGAGTGAATTCTCGTTGAGGAGCTTGTGATCACAATGTGGGCACTGGACCACTGATTTGGAGGGATCGTTGGCAGGCAGAGGCGTAGATCTTGGCGAAGTGAGATCAGGCGAGGCGGTCAGGTGATCTCGAAGTATGTTGGTTTCCATTGCTAGGACATCGACATGGTGCGCCTCAATGGCCAGGGTCACCGCTTCTCGTAGTCGGATGAACCCTGTAGAGGAGAGCAAAAAGAAGGGTTTAGACAATTGTTGAAGTGAGTTAGACAGCACAATGCAGACTAGTATTTATGTATAACATGTCATTCAGGCATCGGGAACTTGGCTCTAACAATGGCTCTACCACACATTTTGTTATTGCTACTTGAATGCAATATCGTTATACGCACGATAGTTCACTCATGACATGGCTGATGGCCATGTCAACATGGTTTATGCTATTTATGTTTACAACAGCGCATGGTTTATGATGACGAATAAAAACCAGACAAATAAATCAAGCAAATTTAAGCTATAGCCTAACAACGATACATGATGGGAAACTTAAACGATTGCAAGTATATAAGGCGAGACTGAGGGCGGAAACTAGGATAAGGTTGGTGAGGTAGAGGAGGTTTATGGGAGAATGAAAAGGTTAGAATGGATAAGGAGATAAGAAAGATTTGGTGGGTTCAGTGATTATGGAAAGTTTAGGAGTGGACAAGGAAGTAAGAGAAGGTCGGAGATGCCTGTGAGGTAAGGAGAGGCAAAGGTAAGAAAGGTTGGAGAAGTATATAGTGTGGGAAAATGAGTGTAGGTACGGAATGTCAGAAGAGAAGTGGTGTAGGTATGAGGATCAAAAATATTTTGTGTGGGGGAAGTAGGAAGGTAAGGAATATAGGGTGAGGAGGAGCAGGAGCCAGGGAAGAAGGGTTGGATGGGTGAATAGGGCCAAAGAAGAGGGGTCGGAGAGGTGAGAAGTCAGGGATGAAGGAGGCTAAGGAAGAATGGCGGGGCTTCCAAGTCATTACCCCCAAAAGGAGTCGTTTGCTCGCGCCTAATTCATGCGTTATTTAGAGCAGCTCTTCATCTGCCGCGCTGCGAGCCGACGTATAACGGACGCGGCAACTGCCCTGACAGTCCTAACTATCCAAAGATTTAATCTCGTAAACCATGTATGTTTTAATCATGTGCATGCTGTCATCAGGTCAAGACATGAAGGTACAAATGCCTGACGACACGAACAAAAAAGCATATCGTGTCGAGAAACACGTGGTGCCGACACGCGCTGCGAGCCGACGTATAACGGACGCGGCAACTGCCCTGACAGTCCTACTTACTATCCAAAGATTTAATCTCATGAACCATGTATGTTTTAATCATGTACATGCTGTCGTCAGGTCAAGACATGAGGGTACAAATGCCTGCATGGCGACACGAACAAAAAATCGTGGCGAGAAACACGGTGCCGACATGTGCCCAACATGTTTATCGGGCATCAGCTGGCATCGCGTAAAGGATAGCTCATCGAACGACTGCTGGCAAGACCTCACAGCAAAAGCATTATCGATTAAAGAACAATTTAATTAAATCAAATTATTTGATTATTATTTGTTTTTATTTAAATAGAACAAGAACATCATGCAGGCATTGGCCAGCTGCCTAGGCCTGCACCATCGCTAGTGGATGGATGAGGACAGAAACACATCATTTGGTGGGCTAAATAATTGAATGATGAAAAATGAGCGAACACTAGGTCGACATGAGCGAATATAAGGTTGACATGAGCGAACATTAGGTAGACATGAGCGAACATTAGGTCGACATGAGCGAACAATAGGTAGACATGAGCGAAAATTAGGTGGACAGTGATGAACATTAGGTAGAAACTGACGAACACTAGGTCGACATGAGCGAACATTGGGTCGACATGAGCGAACATAAGATCGATGGGTCACATGCCCCCCCTCAGGTCATATACCCCCCCCCTTCCCTCATGTCACAAGCCCCCTTCACGACCGGTCGTAAAATTGGCCGCAAATCTAGATATTGAAGCAGCAATATTGCTGCCTTTGTTGAGTGAGCAGCACTAACTTGTTATTGTTACCATTGTTACCCCAGGGGAGGGGAGGCATGGGGATGAGAGGGGATTATTGTTAGGGGGGCGGGAGGAAAAGGTATAGACGGGAGTTATCTGTCCTCGTCCCCTTTCCCCTTGCTTTTTCAATTAGTCTTCCCCAATTATTACAAAAAATTTCCCACTGTTTTAATTATCCATGAGCGCACCCACGTTGACGTGGAAATATCTAAAATATTTGAAAAACTTTAATGTTATACGTTATCAAAATCCGGTTCACATTTGTGCGCATTACGCAGCGTTCACATTGGTGCGCATTACGCAGCGTTCACATTGGTGCGCATTACGCAGCGTTCACATTGGTGCGCATTACGCAGCGTTCACATTGGTGCACATTACGCAGCGTTCACATTGGTGCACATTACGCAGCGTTCACATTGGTGCACATTACGCAGCGTTCACATTGGTGCGCATTACGCAGCGTTCACATTGGTGCGCATTACGCAGCGTTCACATTGGTGCGCATTACGCAGCGTTCACATTGGTGCACATTACGCAGCGTTCACATTGGTGCACATTACGCAGCGTTCACATTGGTGCACATTACGCAGCGTTCACATTGGTGCGCATTACGCAGCGTTCACATTGGTGCGCATTACGCAGCGTTCACATTGGTGCGCATTACGCAGCGTTCACATTGGTGCACATTACGCAGCGTTCACATTGGTGCGCATTACGCAGCGTTCACATTGGTGCGCATTACGCAGCGTTCACATTGGTGCGCATTACGCNGCTCTGATGAGACGTCAGTGTCTCGGCTCTGACGAGACGCCGGAGTCTCGGCTCTGACGAGACGTCAGAATCTCGGCGCTGATGAGACGTCAGAGTCTCGGCTCTGATGAGACGTCAGAGTCTCGGTTCTGACGAGACGTCAGAGTCTCGGCTCTGACGAGACGTCAGAGTCTCTGCTCTGATGACACGTCAGTGTCTCGGCTCTGACGAGACTGTCTCGCCAAAACAATGAAATTTCAAAATTTGAAGAGCGGAACTAACGCGGACGCTCGAGACAAAAGGCGGCAGCGGCGGCTTAGGTTAGGCTTATAGGTCTGTGCTTGTACAGCTACTGTACAGTATACGGCCACTGTACAGTCACTGTAAACAGCTACTGTACAGTATACGACCACTTTAAACAGCTACTGTACAGTATACGACCACTGTAAACAGCTACTGTACAGTATACGACCACTGTAACCAGCTACTGTACAGTATACGACCACTGTAAACAGCTATTGTACAGCCACTGTAAACAGCTACTGCACAGTATACGACCATTGTACAGTCAGCTTGTACAGTGTACAGTACACTACGTATACGAGTGATGTACTGTATCTTGAATGTTCGAATGTCACGTTTAGCCTGATCCACTCAACTGCTACGCTGCAGTGTATGCGACGTATACAGCCGTGTACACAGCGTATACAGACGTGTACACAACGCATACAGCCATGAACATAGCCTATACAGCCTCACATACAGCCGGGTACACAGCCTATCCAGCCTCACATACAGCCGTGTACACAGCCTATACAGCCTCATATACAGCCGTGTCCACAGCCTATACACCCTCACATACAGCCATATACACAACCTATACAGCCTCACATACAGCCGTGTACACAGCCTATACACCCTCACATACAGCCGTGTACAAACACAGCCTATACAGCCTCACACACAGCCTATACAATTGGTACCTGACGTTGCTGTATCTCAGGCTGTAAACTCAAGTTTTGCACGATATATCAGCTGGAAACTAAATTTTTTCCAAAACTACAATAGCTAGAAATGAAAGTATTGCATACTTATTCAGCTGGAAGGGAAAGCTTGCACGCAAACCAGCTGGAAACGGACATTTTGCACAGGCACCCTGCGAGCGAAGTTTACGTATAGAAACACAGTACGGATATGCTTGACTTCAACAACTCCGTTTTACACGCGCATTTAGTAGCCGCTTATTCACCACGTGGTGAGTCTGAGCAGCAGCATAGCGGCCTTATTCACCACGTGGTGAGTCTGAGCAGCAGCATAGTGGCCTTATTCACCACGTGGTGAGTCTGAACAGCAACCAATTGGCCTTATTCACCACGTGGTGAGTCTGAACAGCAGCCAAATGGCATCATTCACCACGTGGTGAGTTCGAACAGCTCGTGTAGAGCTAGGTATTCACACTCAGTAAAAGCGAGTCTTCACCTCACGGGAGAAGCTGAGATGTGAGCTTCACTTTGGTCTCTAGACCGCGGACCGGTTGTCGTGTTTCAGAACACGTGCGTTAGGAAAACTACTGCCAACATTTAAAGAAATAAATATACATACAAATGTTTACTAAATATACTTAAATATGTACTATTTACCACACGGCATATTAATTCACCAATATTTTTCAGCTAGGAACTATAGGTAGAAAAGAAAACTTTACGTTAGGCTAGCTTGTAAGTCGAAGTGTGGAATGAACGTTAGCAGCACACGTGTTGGTTTGAGACAACGTATGAGGCGGCTTAGGTTATTGATATTGTTAGATATAATTTATAATATTTAGATAATATAGGATAAAATTTACAAGATATTAGATATATCATATATTGTTAAACATGTAATGTCTAACTTAAGAAAGAGAAAATAATTGGATGAAAGAAAAAAGGTGACATATATAGAGGTGAGGATTGATGTCATGGGAAAGAATTGAAGGCAGAGGAAAGAAATGAAGAGAAGGTACAGAAAGTATGATTTAGGAATAGATTGAAGGCCATTTATGCCAGGGATTGAAGAGAAGATTAGGGACAGATTTGAGGAGTAGGGAAATAATTGAAGACCAGGGAAATTGTTTGGGGGTGAGGCGGCGGGAGTCGCGGGGGTTGAGGGGGAAAAGACGAAAATAGGAAGCTGGTGAACACGGCGATCCAGCCAGCAAGTTCGGCGGCGAGAACAACTCAAAACAGCCAAGAAAACAGACAAGATAACAGCCAAGAAAACAGTACAACTCACTTGAATGCAGCAGCAGCAAAGGGCAGACTCCGGCGCAATTATTCCCGATAGTTAAAGGCTTTTCAGGAAATATTAGTCAATTTAACTTTGACCTCCAAATCGCGCCAATACTTCCTGCTCCTTGTAATGTGCGGCACGTGTGATCACTAACACTTATTTACACGTAGAGGCATGCTAAGCATACCATGAACACGCGTTCACATGTGCAGGTTAACATTTAGCACTAATAAGAGTTAAGAAATATTCCTTAGAACCACCGCACCTAAGACCACCGTCACGTCCACCTTAAAGCAACTCCAGTTTGATACTGCAAGGAAATTTTCTGTAGCTTCGTTCCAGGATTTCGGTCTTGAGTTCCAGCGCGGGGATTGGCGCAAGGCGCGGGAGGTGGAGCCTACTAACTGGATGGGGGTGATGGGGGTACGTAAGTTTTTCGGGGGTTCGAAACGTTGCGCTCGGCAGGTAAGAGGATAAACATGGAGAACGTTTCTCAGCGATTCGTCGCGCCGACATTCCGCTCCTAAACAACAATCAAGCTACGCACTGCAGCAGCCTTACGCCGGCATGTGGCTGGCCGACCATACGCCGCCTCTCATAATTAACAAGATATACGGCAGTAATTTAGAGCTGCTTTACTGCTGGCAGAGTGCCGGCACTTACGGGTGAGCGGACCTCTGCCAGGACTGGAACTGTGACTTCTGCCACTAGTGGAACTGTTACCTGCCAGTAGTGGAACTGACATGCCAGTACTGGAAGTGTGACCTCTACCACTAGTGGAACTGTAACCTGCCACTAGTGGAAGTGTGACCTCTGCCACCAGTGGAAGTGTGACCTCTGCCACTAATGGAAGTGTGATTTCTGCCACTAGTGGAAGTGTGACCTCTGTCACTGGTGGTAAAGTAACCTCTGCGAGTAGTGGGTTTGTGACCTCTGCCACTAGTGGAAGTGGGACCTGTGCAACTAGTGGAAGTGTGACCTGTGCCAGTAGTGGAAGTGTGACCTCTGCCACTAGTGGTAAAGTGACCTCTGCCACTAGTGGAAGTGTAACTTCTACCACTAGCGGTAATGCGACCTCTGCCACTAGTGGAAGTGTGACCCCTGCCACTGGTGGAAGAGTGAACGCTGCCACTAGTGCAAGTGTGACCCCTGCCACTAGTGGAAGAGTGACTCCTGCCACTAGTAGTAATGTGACCTTTGCACTAGTGGAAGTGTGACCTCTGTCACTAGTGGGAGTTTGACCTCTGCCACTAAGGAAAGTGTGACCTCTGCCATTAAAGGAAGTGTGACCTCTGCAATAGTTTACAAATTAGTATATTCATGACACTTTCATACCACAAAAACCTTTGAGACCCGAGTTATTAACATTACCGAATTACCAACATGCCACCAGTACAGGGGCATCAGTACTTACTTACCATCAGTACGGAATTACCACCTGTACACTGTACAGAGTTACTAACAGTAACATCAGCATAGACGTACCATCAAAGTACAGTTGCAATGAGAACATAACTAACGCTTTTTCTCCGAGCGCCCATCTGCCATACCGTAGCTACCATACAATAGCTACTGTTTGTACCATACAAGAGCTACTGTTTGTACAGAAATAATACATTTGTACAGAGCTACAATGAGTACAGGACCAGCACATGAGATGTACTCAGTGTGCCGGCAGTGCTGGAGGCGCAGTTTGTGGCCCATAGCAACCAACATGGCGGCATGATGGTTCCAGCTCTACATGCTGCAAATCAGAACCAACGTTGATGCGTAAGAAATCCTTTGGAGCGCGGAGGTGCTTTATAAAATTAATGGATAATGCAGTGGCTATGGCCGTCAGTGCACCGGAGCACCGCATGCAGTCGTCCAGTGGCCCGATTCTGGAACACATTTGTGAGGCCGGCAAACAACGTGCCTGAGCTTCAACATGAACTAAACTAAAAAGCAACAGGTAATTTCGCGTGAGATTTTCGATATGATGGCTGTTGTATACATGCTGTGTTATCGCAGGCTTTACATGACTCGTAAAAGGCAGCTAAATGGCCAGCAATATAGGGAAGTTGGTAGCTGCAGGGTAGCCGGTTGTGAGAAAATTTCCCGCCAAGAAGCGAGTGGGAGACCCGCAAAGTGCGCAGCGCAGGCCCCGCCTCCGCGCGGTTGCCAGACGCACGAAGTTCTTATATCGTGCCCGTGGCAACGGTGCTATGGGGGGAGGGGGGTAGAATCTTGGGCCTACATGTAATAGGGAGGGGGGTGGCCTGGGCCTACTTTTATGAGGGGGGAGGGGGTACGCCTGCGCAGATACGACACATGTTTCCTCCGGCATCCATGCCTGATTGATGGGCTTTTTTTTTTTGGTCTGTACGCCATGCCACATCTCGCGTGAAGCCCGGCCGAGTTTACGAGCAACTTAGCTCAAGCTATTAGAACACAGCGGGATTTTAAGGTTGATTTTGAAGTAGGTGATAGCTTGTAGAAAACTTTACGAGCAACTTTATAATGGCTATTAGAACCTAGATGGCGTTGAGCTTCATTTTGAAACACTTGATGGCTGGAAAATGCTTAATGAACAATTTCAAGATTGCTGCAAGGCTCATAACTTAGTGGCGAAGGTAGAATTTACTACAAGTACGCTGAAATAATAAAAAAGTTAAGTTTAAGTCAACTAAGAAATTTTGACTATCATTGCTCACCCACAAATTTTTGATACGCTATCATCTCTCACATAAAACCTCTAGATTTTCAATCATCGATAACATGAATCCGTTTGAGTCGCTATCATCGACAAGCCAGAAAGCCCTGATAAATACTAACCAGTGATCGCGGTGCTCCGGACTGCACAATTCTGATCGAACTAAAGGTTCAGAGATAAGGGGACATTCCTTCCCATCCGTTGATTACATTAGCCGAAACTGTACAGAGATAAATTCAGCGACATACCTTCTCATCCACCGATTACAGTTGCTGAAACTGCACAGAGATGAAGTTAACGACATTCCACCTCATCCACTGATTAATACAGTTGCCGAAACGGAACAGAGATAAAGTAAACGACATTCCATCCCTTCCTCTGATTACAGTTGCCAAAAATGTGAAGAGATAAGGCGACATTCTTGTCTGACGGTAATTACATTTGCCGAAATTAAATGCAAATGAGCTGACATTCTTCCTTGATGGTCGGACAGCAACATAATTTATCGCCGATGTTCTCTCCGTACGTCTGTTGCCTGTGATGTTGTCTCCGTACGTCTGTTGTCTCTGATATTGTCTCCGTACGTCTGTTGTCTGTGATATTGTCTCCGTACGTCTGTTGTCTTTGATGTTGTCTCCGTACGTCTGTTGTCTGTGATATTGTCTCCGTACGTCTGTTGTCTTTGATGTTGTCTCCGTACGTCTGTTGTCTGTGATATTGTCTCCGTACGTCTGTTGTCTTTGATGTTGTCTCCGTACGTCTGTTGTCGGGGATGTTGTCTCCGTATGTCTGTTGTCTGTGATGTTGTCTCCGTACGTCTGTTGTCGGTGATATTGTCTCCGTACGTCTGTTGTCTGTGATGTTGTCTCCGTATGTCTGTTGTCTGTGATATTGTCTCCGTACGTCTGTTTTCTGTGACATTGTCTCCGTACGTCTGTTGTCTTTGATGTTGTCTCCGTACGTCTGTTGTCTGTGATATTGTCTCCGTACGTCTGTTGTCTTTGATGTTGTCTCCGTACGTCTGTTTTCTGTGATATTGTCTCCGTACGTCTGTTGTCT